CAAGGAACAAACAATTCCCGCTCAGAAATTATGGTATATTTAAGGTTAGGAAAAATTAGCATGTGAAGAATAAAATTATACTAACCTCTAATACTATATCTTCAGTTCTTCACGTCGGTAGACTAACACAGCACAAAATTTATAAATACAATAGTACCTAATCAGATTCAATAATGAATATTGTATTTAATAATAAAAAAAAGACGTAAATTATCACTAATCACTGTATAACGGTAATCAAGCAGCGTGCGCTTGCGCTAGTGCTGAGCTGGCTGTCGCCTCTTCAGTTAATTTTATGTATATCGGATGTAGCAAAACATACAGTACATGGTGGGTAGCAGATATCTGACATAAAATGTACATTTTTTTGGTGACATTATTCATTAAGTATATCATATACTCATATGTATATATTAAATACATAAATTTGTTATGTAATGTTAATATATTTAGTATTGCTGTAATTCATACAACTCTTTTTTGATATATGGGCTACATATAGTTTTTTTATATATAATATATATAAAAATTAATGAACTCCTAAATAACATAGTAGTTCTGATATATATGATACATAAAAAACTAAATATATAAGTTTTTATCTTAATCTTACATATTTGTTATGTATGTTTTATATGTCTGTTTATTGGGCATGATCTAATTCAGTCGGAAGCAGACAGTTGTCTCTACTATAAAGTCGCACGAGGAACCGAAACTTATCTCATACTATACGTCGATGACATTATTATAGCTAGCAAAGCTATGGATGATGTAAATGAATTGAAGAGCCAATTAAGTTGCGCATTTGACATGCAAGATCTAGGTAACGTTACATGTTTTCTAGGTATTGACATAAGTTTTACGGAGGATGGTGTTTATCTTAGCCAGAAAAACTACCTTTGCAATCTTCTAGCTCGTTTCGACATGACAAACTGTAATCCAGTAAAGACACCGATGATCAAGGGATTCAAAATTGAAAATTCCAAAAGCACTGAAACAAAACCAGTGCGTGAATTGATCGGTATTGTCTTATGTATGCTATGCTTTCTACACGGCCAGATTTCAGTGCATCACTAAATATTTGTAGCAGATATCAAAGCTGTAGTTCAGATGAGCTTTGGAATGCATTGAAAAGAATTCTACGATATATTAACGGAACAACTGATTATAAGCTACGATTTCCCAGGAATATTGATGAACAACTTGAAGGTTATGCAAACTCTGATTGGGCAGGCGATACGACAGATCGCAAATCAACAACAGGATTTTTATTTAAAGTTTATGGAGGGACAGTCAATTGGTGTACAAGAAAGCAAAGTACTGTTGCAGTCTCATCAACAGAGGCAGAATATATTGCTTTATCGGAAGTAGCTCGAGAAGGATTGTGGTTGTCACAACTATGATGGATATGCACTCATCTCCAAAGTATTTCAAAATTTATGAAGACAATCAATCTTGCATAAGCCTCACGAAACGAACTGATCATAAACGACTGAAACATGTTGACGTGAAATATAATTTTATTAGAAATCTTGTTAACGATGGGTTAGTGACTGTAACCTATATTGACACTAAACATCAGCAGCGGATATACTTACGAAACCGCTTGACTGTGTATTGTTCTCAAATTGTAGAACTGGAATAGGGATAGTTTAGTATATTTTTTTAATATTTGTTAGACCTACTGTTTGAGAGGGAGGTTAGCTTTGTGTAATTTGTTTATTCATGCATTATTTGACGTTCTAGAAGTTGTAGATAATTCTATGCTTAAATTGAGAGGGAGTGTTGGTGTTATGCAATTTAGAATATAAATAATGTATGTTGCCATGTAAATGAATAGTGTGTTGTTAATGAGAAAAATATATTATACATTTTATCTGTCTGTCATACGTGCTGTAATTTTGTAAACTTGAAATCACGAATCTTTGTCCCTGCGTCATTGATTTGTGAATCAATTTCAGACATACGCTAAAACACTGTAATATCTGTCAAGTATGCGAAATCGATAAAAAACTTGTCTGAAATTGATTCACAAATCAATGACGCAGGGACAAAGATTCGTGATTTCAAGTATATTTAAAAATTACTTCTCAATTAGTATCAATCACATACGGTGCTTCCCAAGCAATCTTCACAAAATAAAACAGCAACATTTAAAAATGGCTATTCCCATCAAAAGCAAAACAGATCCCCTTTAAATCTGCAATCACGTGATTAAACATATAAGGCACGGCCCCCTTATCTTATGTATGTTAGTTGTAAACAATGCTATAACCTGAAGTATTATCGCCGCCACAAGAGAAGAGCCCTGCGTCATCATCTACAAGCGTGTGATTTAAGATTTAAAATCAAAGTCAAAATAGTTCCGTAATAATCAATATTAAAGTTGTTGAAAAATGTACTAGATGGCGTTGTTTCGCAAAGGTTTAAAAAGAGCAACAGCAAATCCCAATTCAGTTGTTTACTTGTCAAATTTAGTTATTAGGTAGGGGAAAGAAAACAGCTTATTTATACAAAATCGAAGAAAACGAAGAGCAAAAGAGGTTATGGAAAATTTGAAAATAATTAGGAGTATTACGACGTTGGTCAAATCAGCATCAAATATGCATGTTAAACTTGACAAGCGTTATAGGTTATCTCTTTTCATTACATTTAGCTTTTCAAAAGCGCACGTCTATTATATCCCAAGAACTTGTTTCGTTCTCTGCCCTTTTTTGGGTTGCGCAAATTTTTGAGATGTAAGTATCAACACCTTGGATTTATGCATTCGTACATTGATGACGCAGGGCTCTTCTCTTGTGGCGGCGATAATACAGTAGGGAAGGAACACAAAATAAAACAATGCCATGGTGTGTATAATTTACGTATTTTGAATAAGTCTTTGCTTTTTGATCAGTTATTTTAATCGTCAATAATCTCAAATGAAAATGTTGTCAATGTGTAAGATAATTAGTTGCAATTGATTGATAATAAAGCATGAGAAATATAAATCACATACATAAATCATGATATCAAAAAGAGGTTAAAAGCAAGTTTCAAAGCAAAGAACTGGTTGGGGCGCAAGCAGCTAACAAAACAAGGTAACTGTACAACAGGTGAGTCATCTTTGGTGCAATTGGGTGCAATAAAAGAGGCCGGGACATTTCGCCGAATGCCCATTACGCCGACACGATTTTTTGAAGGTCCATATCGCCGACTAGGGACACTACGCCGACGGACACTGCGCCGACCGTGCCCACATCGTCGACAAGTGTGCAAGGGACACAACGCCGACCATGCCCACTTCGCCGACGGACACTACGCCGACCGTGCCCACATCGCCGAAAAGTGAACAAGGGACACTAAACCGAACGTGACCATAACGTCGACTCATATAACACTTCTTAATCAAGCTGGACGGTGTGCAACGCCAAGTAGCTTTTGACGTTAGGTTATTGTAGGTTCAGAATATTTTTTTTAACTTCTTGTTCTTTCGAACTACAGACTCATACGAAAATTCTTAATCAAACTGGACGGAGTGTGAAGCAAAGCAGCTTTGGATATTAGGTTATTTGTAGGTTTAGGACATGTTTTTTAAACTTTTTAAAATGCAAACTCATACACTGGACAGAGTATGAGGGGCCTGGATTTTCGAACAGTCGGCGTTGTGGTCACGTTCGGCTTAGTGTCCTTTGCACACGTTTCGGCAATGTGGGCACGATCGGCGTAGTGTCCGTCGGCGAAGTGGGCATGGTCGGCGTTGTGTCCCTTGCACACTTGTCGACGATGTGGGCACGATCGGCGTAGTGTCCGTCGGCGTAGTGTCCCTAGTCGGCGATATGGACCTTCAAAAAATCGTGTCGGCGTTGTGGGCATTCGGCGAAGTGTCCTAGACCCCAATAAAACCCTTCTGTTACAAGCAAGATGGAAAATTACACAGCCTTGTTGGCCAGATCAAATTATCAATAACAATGTGGAAATAAGTGAATCGCAAGTCATATATTATCACACATAGATTCTAAACCTAAGAGTTTTTGTTAGCAGAATCCCGCCCCAAAGATAGGTAAATTATCCGGAGTATCCAAGCCTACAGTTGAGAATCGAGGTCAATCTCGGAATTAAGTGCCATAACTCATTTGGTTACAGTTACTCCCCGTGACCACCTCATTCACATCACGGAGAAAATGTTTATCACAAGTCTTTTTTCGTTACCACACTATGAATTTTTTTTGGTGTATTTAGTTCTGTTCTTTTTGCATTTGGTAGCTTATAGCTCTGGCGCCTGAACCAGTAAACCTTGACGATTAATTTGCGCATACGCTAACTGCGCAATGTCATAAAGTTTCTTGTTTATAGATATACTGTTTTGAAATTCCAACCAGAATTTTATGGTAAAGGCAAACACTGATGTCTCTTAGAAGGGAAGGCTGAAATATAAGAATGAGAGACAAATTAAAAAGATTAAACTTTAATATTCCTTTAAAATGACTAGAATAGGTACATTTTTCCATAATAATATGTAAACAATGTCAACACAAGGTGGTAAAGCTTCTCATGCTAGGAATTTAAAAATTACGAGGAAAATACTTTTCAATATAAAATTAACATATATAGATAGATCGAAATCAGATATGTCGTATGACTAGCTCAGGATTACAAGAGTTACTCTTCTACCGTCATTACGTAAATATGGATTAGTGTTACAGGTGTTGATCATCACACAAACGAGTGTCAATCAATAGAAAAGTGCCTCTATTCTGAAAATTTTTGGCTAAAAACGATAACTACAAACAAAACGGGAAAAGTGCAGAATGCACAATTGGTTACACATGTAAAAACTATGGCATTACTGTATAATATATAAAAATCGACGCTACTGAAAGACGCTACTTTTTTGTTTCGTTTTAAACGACGAATTTTTGAAACAGCTGCAATTGGTTCTTTTAATATTTCAACAGAAACAAAGAGTTTCATAAAACCTTGCGATCGGCTACTTGTTCTACTGCGATAATATAATAAAATGGAAATTTTTTATTTATTTGGAAAATCGGGCCAGTAGTTAAAATGAAATCTTTGCGTGGTTCCCTCAAACAGTCTATCTAACCAGTTCGGTAAGCCATCCAATAAATTGCCTTCGAGTAAAATTTCTTCGTCCGAATCCGAACTGTCTGAATTGAAACCGATAAACGCGGCCGCTTCCACATCGTTAACTGTCGGCTTGCTTGCTTTGTTCTCCAACTGAAATGAATCATTTGGATCAATTTAGATAAAGGTACCGCAACACTTACTCTTTTCTTGCTTGATTCGGCGTGTTTCGCGTGAAACATGCAAAAGTACTTTCGATAGCCGTTAACTGCTAAAACTGTACCCACACAGTTGCGTGGATTGATATTCAAGTCTCGCTCCTCTGATAACGAAAGCTGTAGTAGGTCTTTGTACCAGGTTAGACCTCGTTCGACGTACATGTAAGCAAACATTAGGGTCTTGTTTCTACAAGGGAAGATGAATTAATCGAGTGCTGGGAAACAAAAACTATTAATTTGTTGTTTAATAATTGATCTGGCAATTTGCTAATTAATTATTGGGAGCGTTCAGCCATATTCAGCGCTTACACAGCTGTTCCCAGCGCCAAATTTCGCCGATTAACTGACGTGAGGTGAGGTTGTAAATTAACTGTCACGGTAAATGCGCGCTTCTACTCCCACCTTCCGCTGCGGAAATTATTTTCGCTGGAAAAAATGGCGGACGCTGTTAAGCGCCAAACGACCACTACCTGGCCCGGCTAAACGCGCCCATTGATTGTTTCAACTTATAGTTTTAGTGCTCACTTTCTGTAGGGCCACACGGCCTTGTGAAAAGGTGGTATGAGATGTTCGCGCGATTGCATATCAAGGACCAGTATGAGTGTTCTGCAACCTGGTTTCAATAAGCGCACCAAACCATTGTATTTCTCAGCACGTAACTCGTGCAAACGTAGCTCCGGTTGGTAATTAGCATCGTCACCGTCGCCGGCTTTACCTTTGCTGTTTTGCTTCACACTTTCTTCCTCTATGCGCCTAAATGAGACGCTTAGTTAACATTCAAATACAGAAGCAATACTTACACAAGATAAGCCATAAAATATCCTACCCCGACTATAAAAACAATGGTTCCCACTATAGAGAGAACTGGTAGGATTTGATCTTTGCTTAAGCCCTCGTACAATCTCTCGCTGAAAATGAGTAACTTGGTAACAATACGTCCAAATATACCTTTGGCGTGTTCGTCAAATAAATCGGTAACCAACGCCTCGTAAGTAAGCGCTTCTGACGATTTTAATAATCGACTAATAGTAGTTTCAAGCTTGGACACAGTATCGTTAAGGTTTTCTTCAATCTCCCATTTGTTTGGTAACCATTCGTATTTAACGTGCGATGTGTCTCTTCTCCAAATGATAACAATGCTTAATAGAGGCGTTATACCTTCGCCATCTGCAATATTATTGGTATTGAGGTGACTAAACAATTCAATTATTATTATTATTGTGCAGAACTTGTCAGGAAAGGAGGTTTATTTGTAGAAGCTGATAATCTAGTACTTTCGATTGTTTTGCGCAGCGCGCCTCAGCCCTCAACTTAGACACCTTTCCTTTCGTTAGAAACAAAGAGAAACTATTCTCATCAGAATATCAAATACAAACCATTGTTGTTGTTGAATACACACAATACTGTTGTTCGCGTCATAGATAAAGAGATACAATTTTTCTTTTCCAAAAGAAAGATTGCTGATCACACCATCATCAAAGAGGGACTACTGTTCTCGAAACAAAAGGGACCATTGATCAGAGAGAAAAAAACCGTCGTTCTCGTCAATGATAAAAAGAAATCAAAACAAACAAAAACAACTGTTCCATCAAAGATACCATTTGCTGTAAAGTAAACAATAGTTACATATTAACGCGCCGTTTCGTTGTGTACTTTTGGCGCAGAAGCAACTAATTCAACGTCCTTAATCTCATGATTAGTTAACGAGAAAAATAAGCTTAATTGTTAATCCGTTTTGGGTACCTTTTTAATGCGAGTCGTAATACTCGTAATACTTAGATTGTGCCGGGAGGTAAGACGTGGAATTTTCCATAGGTCAATTTCTTCAGGAATATCAAAATTACTTTAAATTCAATAATTATTTATATTATTAGTTTAATTTTTTTTACTTTAATTAAATTAACTTAAATATCAGGATACCTTTCGTCAGGTTGGACAAAATCAAGAATAGCTCTGAAGTGATGGCGATAAAATTCTACAACCATCTCCCAGAGTCGATGACAAATTTAGACGATGTTAAGTTTAAGTTAAGAGTCAAAACGGTTCTTTTAAATAATTCATTCTATAACTTTGAGGAATTTTTAAGTTTTAAATTTTAAGTTCTTTTTTGTGTGTAATATTTCCATTGTAATTTGACGAATGCAAGCAAATTTTTGCTGTAAGCATAAATATATATTATTATTAAGGATCCTCAGATCCTTTATAGTTTTGTATTGTCGTCCGTCCGTCCGTCCGTCCGTCCGTGTGCGCTCTAACTCTTTTTAAAAGTGGCCGATTGTGTTTAAATTTGGTATACGGGTACGTTGGACATTAAGAACGGACGCTATTGATTTTCAGGAAAGCTGGTTCAACAGGAACAAAAGTTATACGACTTCGAGTGAATCGGGAACAGGAAAACTGCGAACTCAATATAATAAAAATTAACATATTTCATTCCCTAGGTCATGTATCGAGTTCGGACTTTCGCTAGATTATTCCCTATGACTCTTAGATGTGTAACAATTCAATATAACTCTTCTCTGTGGTCTCGGTCAAAAGTTTTAGAGCAAAATGTACCCAAATTATTCTTTACACATGAATTTAGAGTTGTAAAAGCTTTCAAACGCATTATCTTGATGCTGAAAGAGTTGATAACGTGCACGTTTGATAACCGCATGTGTGTGATTCAAAAATGTTAAATTATTTTTCTGAGGCCACATGGATATTGATCAAAATATGTCAAAATCGTTAATTATGCACCAAGATCGTTGGGAAAAAGACTACGCGCATTATCTCAATGCCCAAGATATGAATTTGATGCATTTTTGGCGACCACGTGGATTTTGATCAAAACATGTCAAAATCGTTATTTATGCACCAAGATCGTTGGGAAAAGACTAGGCCCATTATCTCAGTGCCCAAGACATGAATTTGATGCATTTTTGGCGACCACGTGGATTTTGATCAAAACATGTCAAAATCGTTATTTATGCACCAAGAGCGTTGGGAAAAAGACTAAGCGCACTATCTCAATGCCCAAGACATGAATTTGATGAATTTTTGGCGAAAACGTGGATTTTGATCAAAACATGTCAAAATCGTTATTTATGCACCAAGATCGTTGGGAAAAAGATTAAGAGCATTATCTCAATGATCTAAACATGAATTTGATCTATTTTTATGGACCACATGGATTTTGATCAAAACATGTCAAAATCGTTATTTATGCACCAAGAGCGTTGGGAAAAAGACTAAGCGCATTATCTCAATGCCCAAGACATGAATTTGATGAATTTTTGGCGAAAACGTGGATTTTGATCAAAACATGTCAAAATCGTTATTTATGCACCAAGATCGTTGGGAAAAAGATCAAGAGCATTATCTCAATGATCTAAACATGAATTTGATCTATTTTTATGGACCACATGGATTTTGATCAAAACATGTCAAAATCGTTATTTATGCACCAAGATCGTTGGGAAAAAAACCAAGAGCATTATCTCAAAGCCCAAAGACATGAATTTGATGCATTTTTGTTAACTATAAAATGTATTTTGTAAGATTAAAATAAATTGTCGTTAAAAGTGATTGTAATACTGAGGATCCTTCGATATTTCGTTGTATCGGTTTATTTATTAAATGCAAATGCACTGATTAATGGTATGCCGTTATATACAAAATGTTATTTATGCTGTCCAAATGCGCCACTCAACTCTGAGAAACTTGCTTTTAACCGGCCACTACTGTTAACGTTACGTTTATTCTCGTAGATCTTTTATCGCCCGAAAATAAACGGCCTTACTACGCACTAGGGTAAACTCCGTTTTAATGTACAATTAAAATTGCAGGGAACTCGTACTTTACACGAATTCGATTTTAATTAAACGTTTCTTGGGTAAGTACCCAACGTTTATGAGTTCTCGCTACTTAATATATAATTTTATCAGAAGTTAAACTCTTCACTACTAGTCGGAAAAATTTCACTCAAATAATTGCACGTTTCGGTTCTTGAATTTCGACAGCAAACTTTCACACACATAAGTTATATTATAACTTCGCTAAAAAATTTAATTTCAGCGCACCTCAAATGGTACACGATGGTTCGCCAAAATCAACTTAGAACGAATTTTCACCGATAGAAAATTTCACCCACAGTGTATGTGATGGTTCGAAGGACCCAGCTTAGAATCTAATTTTTTAACGCAGCCAAATGGTACGTTTCGACTCTGCAAAAGTCTAACCTAGTTTCATTTATTTCGCACCGCACAGTTTTTATCGAAAACGTACACGTCACGCGAGGTAGGGACCGTAAAAAAATATTCACTTCTTTTGTTTTGAGTTCCTCGTTTTAAATATACATATTTAAAAAAATTCGTTACTTTTTTATATTGCCATTCCAAAGAGGATTTGCAAAAAATTTAAATGCCATTTTTTTAAGAATTAAAAAAAATGTGCTATTGTTTGCGCTTTGTCCGTCCGGACCCACTTCTACCGTTTTGAACTACTTCTAGGGGAAGGGTTGCAGGTGTGCTAGATGGCCATCAAATTTGGCTGTCTAAAAGGCCCCCCCCCCCACGAATTATTTCCTGAGATGCTGTTTTTGAAAGTGAAACGTGCATAACTTACATACAACAACCAATTGGTCTCAGATTTTGCATACGCATGCCTTTAGTGGCGCCAAGTTAAACTTTATAAAATGAGTGGGGGGGGGGGGGGGACGACGACACATGCCTACCCTTCATGGTATTCTAATGAAAGGTTTCATCGAAATAAATTGGTTTGTACAAACTATAACTTTCCCGTGTGACTTCTTTTTCGAGATCAGTGAGCGACGGGGTCTGAGGGAGGGGGGGGATTAAAAATTAATTTTATCTCTCATTGTATTCTAATTAAAGGTCTCAACGAAAGGAACAGTTTTCTACAAACTACTGCCCTTCTTTTTGTCCTCTTATCAAAGTACGTGGTAAAGGGGGAAGAGGGAGGGGGAGTGGAACTAGTTTTATCCTTCATGGTACTCTAATGAAAGGTCTCAACAAAAGGAATTAATTTATACTAACCATAGTCTTCCTCTTCGACCCCTTGTCGTGATCGGTTATAATTCCTTATATCTTAAGAGTGAATTGTCAAAGGAAAGTACCTACAAAGGGCGACTGGGACGTTTGGAAGAAATATAACCATTGGGTATTTAAATAAAATTTGATACATAACCACTCGGAATAAAAGCAAATATAACGCCAGTTTCAAAATTTGGTTTTGCGCATGCGCAGTGCCAACTTTCTTATTTTTGGAGGCATTCAAATGAAATTTGATACATAGCCACTTGCAATAAAAGCAAATGTAGCGCCATTTTCCAAATTTGGTTTTGTGTAGGATATGCCAACTTTCTTATTTATGGAAGAAATTTCGTAGGGGTGTTAAAATGTGCTTTACCTGCACAAGGGTTGCGCACAATTTGTACTTGTTATGTTATGTTTTTACCTACCTCAGGGAGTGAATTCCATACCCTGTAGGATAGGGGAACGGTGATGCATGACCATGCCAAGCCACCGTCGAATAATGCTCAGAGCTTATAAACAGTCACTGGAAACAGTAAATAAAGCGTCGTGGATTAGTTAACTGGGCGAGAACCTAGCGAGTAAGGGACACATGATCTCATCTCACGTCTAGGCTACCTTCAATTGTAAAACAGCATATGACAGTAGTGAAATATGGTGGTGTTGACCAAACCAGCCCAGGACGTTTTAGATGGCGATGGCTGAACGCTAGCCGTTCTCTAATATCATTATCAAAATTTCCTCTTCAATGGAGCGTGGCGAGAGAACTGTCCGGTCTAACAGTAGGCAACCTCAACAAAAACCCAAACCCAAAATTAATTTAGGCGTGATGTTTTAACAGATGGTCGCTTTAGGCTTAGAAAGATTTAGTTTCAGAAATTTGCCAGTATAAGCAATGGTACCGTTTCAGAGTGAAAAAGGACAGAACTAAAATGCAATAGAATGAAACGCTTTCAAATAAGAAACGAGTGTGGATGCAGATAAGACTCAAATTATTAGTACATATTCCTTACAAGTCAATTAGTGGACCCGTGTCTCAGCTAACGACGCCTCTGGTATAGAAAAATTTAAACAGCGGCATGTAAAATGCACGAATCCCGCACCGAACATAGGTATACAAAATCACATGGCCCATAGAAACATCCATGACTGGATGAGATCAGAACATCTGAATACATAGAAAACATATAAACAGAACGCCCATGGCAAGAAGCTTATAAATTCCCCAAACTCAACTACTGTGCCAAAGTTAATCAGGCTACCGAAAGAGTATACAACAACTTGTGATTAACTGGAGTTGGACTGTTTAGAATATTCATGCATAACTCTTCTAATATCCTGCATTGGAAAGAAGAAGAACCCAGCTAGGAATCCACAACCAATCGGGAACCTCAAACCCGAAGATACAGTACTGAAACTAGTTAAATGGACAGATGTTGGAATAGGACACACCAACAGCACAAAAGTCAGATACATGCACACTGCCAAATCTAGGCAATTCTAAATAACAAATTTCAAAAAAATTTTTAGGATATCGCTTTCTGCACAATAAAAATGAACAAAACCCAGTTAACTAACATACAATACCTGGCATAAGGGCATTAACAAACTCAGTCTGTTTGTCATGATAGATGTAAGCGAAACGCACACGTTCAGTGCTGTATGGAGAAGCTTGTGCGTAACGCCGAAATGATTGTCTATGTAGATCATGACTATCCGAAGCTGTTGTTACTAAAACAACGCACAGTCTTTTTCTGGGCTTATTCCATTCACAGGGACATAACGATTCTAGTACGCTCTACAAGACAAAGGACGATGAAGATGTAATCTACGAACATCAACTTACCTGTGAGGACAGGCGAGGGAGCGCAAGGTACTGGTTCGAGGAAATCACATTGTTAAGCGTCTGAGTAGGAATTTCTTTCATTGTTACGCTAGCAACAGGTCGTGAGGCATTTTCGTTAAACAGCAGTACCGTGTCCATATCTAACGGTACTTGGAACTCACGGTGCAAGTTTGATGAGTTAACAAAACTGCAATTTACAACATTTGTGTTAATATTCGATTTATTTTAACATATACCTACCCAAAAGAAACTCGATGGCGAAAATGATATGCTGTAATTAAATACCGCAAGCGTACATACGAGTGAGGCTCAAAAATCAAAGCTCGCACTTTGTTATCCTCCCATCCAGTTAAAAAGTACTCAAGATTATTGTCAGTCACTGTAGTAATCAACTTGTACGGTAAGTGGTGACGTAAGAATTCTACAAAGAGCAATAAACAAAACGTAATAGATACAGTCAATTACCGATAATCTTTTGTGGGCTACTAATAATATCCTTAAAAACGTACACATTTTCATCAATAACAGTTGTAAGACAAGGCAAGCTGTGAACATTCATACGCCGTGCTAAACTTGGTTCGGCTGCGGTATGCACGGTCGCGAATTCCACGCCGAGTGGTTCTAAATGATCCATTAACTTACGAAAGTACGGAGCCGTTTGTAAACACGAAAAACACCAATCGGTATAAAACAGTATCAAATACGGGGTGTGTACACTTTTTGGTATAACAATCTTATCGTACTGTCTAGAGGTAATCGATAAACGATGAAAAAAGGCTATATCATTCTCTTGAAAATTGAAATAACTGTGATGCAGTATGTCATCGAACGGATTGCTATGAAATCTGGAATAATCAAATCTATCCTTATAGGTATCCTCTGTAATGCCCGTTTGGTCGAATCGCGCCCGTCGTTCTGTATCAGATAGCAGTTCGTAAGCTTGCTTAATTTGTACGAATTTGTTTTGCGCCTCCGGGTCATTTGTTTTATCGGGGTGCCTAGAAGATTACATATGAAGTTTACATGCACGTAGTTAATCGACAATACCATTCTTTCGCTAATTTTTTGTAGACTTTTCTAATTTCCTGTAGACTTGCAAATCTGGATACACCTAATATTTTGTAAGGATCATACTCCTCAGCGAGGCAAGTAACAACAATGAGAAGTACAATTATAAACAATTTAGACACCTGCATTTTAACAATTATTTCATATTTTCGGCATTTCTTTTATTTAACTACATTTATTATAATTATTGATCATGTTCAAATTTTCATCACAACATTTGACATTTGTGCAAATCAGCTACCAACATATAAATGAAAGAGTCACCAGCAGAAAGGGTGTACAATTTCCCTAAACGACCAGTGGCGGCGTGCACTCCGTGTCGTAGAAGGCGTCTCATCAACGACCAGCCAGCCGCAACCAAGATTAGTAGAATAGTAGAGAGAGTTGCCTCGTAACCTCGTCATCGAGAATCCGGAAGTCCCATTTGATTGGTGTTTAAATTTTCGTTGACTTTGACAGTTATATTTGAACTGTGTAAGTACTTAATTGTCAGATAATGCTGAAGATTCTATTACGTACTTATACCTTTATTATAATTCGATCGTATACTTACTGTTGGATACTCAAGTATCAATAGCTATTAGATGCCGGATGGAAATCTTTGTAGCGTTGCTATATGCAATAGCAGCTGCAACAAATCGAAAGCAAATGAATCGCAGATCAGTTTTTCGCTTTTCCAAAAGGTATTAAGTGCTGTAGGTATTACTAAAAGAATCGGGTTATAAAGTGCAATGGGAAGGGGAACCTGAACCCCGTATGCAATAGACTGTGCAGTCTGATTTCCCGGCCGAAGACTATGAAGATGAAACGTAAGTAAGCTATTTTGAATAAAGTGTGTTTAATATTTCGCTAGCATGTTTCTTTCTATGTATATGCAATGCAGGAACTTTTCAGCACATCCATGTAAAGTTCCATTTTGATCCATTTTGCAATTTTTTAACTTGCTCTGCTGTTGTTGCGTTGATAAGTAATTTTTATGATCTGGACAAAACGGGATTCTGGGTGACGTCATTGGCGTATTTTAATACTGAACGTTTATTGGCTGAAAGTTACGAGGCAACCTACTCTCTTTACTGACCTTGAACCGCAACTCCAGCGCCAAAGTTTTGGAGGGCGTAAGGGTGTTTGTGTTTTGCTTTTGACAACATACTACCGATTATGACCTCTTTCCTTCTCTAAGCTTCTTTTCATACACATGAGAATAATATGTCTATGCTTTTTTCCCGATTTGTGACTGTTGAAATGAAAAGAAAATGAACAAAATGATCAGAATAGCCATAAAGGCGTGTGTATACGTACTCGTGGAACCACGATACACTTTTACAACGGGATGCTCATTATTTTTCTCAAACGCGATTTCTACTGCCCATTAGGTACGTTACGTGCGAAGGTTCGGCGTCAAAATTCAAATGTTTACGCAACATGCTACAATCAAAAACCGCGTATATATGAAAAAGTACGTTAAGTTGGTGTGACTTTACGACCTACTTGCTCTTGCTGATAATGAAGTCCGGACTACGCATCGCTCCTTGTTCTGTGAACGCCGCTGACTATTCTTCCCTCTCCCTCTCACTCGTGACTCCCGACTTAGTGCGCTCGGTAGGTTTTCAAAAAAGTTGAGGCGACATTCCTATCCTCATTTTTTGATTGATATACTCCTTCACCCTTAAAATCGCAAAAAACCCTTAACGACAGGCGGCGATGACGTCATCAGTGAGTCGTATTTGACGATTTTGAGGTAAATAGGGCGCGGAAAGGTCCGCGATAGGTCTTATTTTTTTCTAAAATTTCGATCGGAATCGGTATCGGAAGCCTTTTTAGTCGCGAAAAGGTGCATTTTCGTTAAAATGAGAATTTTCCGCCATATTAAATTTTCAAATGTCAACGTGACGGACGAGTCCATGTTAAGAAAAAAAGGTAAGTTTTTTATTTTTGCGAAAGTTTGCGAAAATACGAGAAACCCACGAAATTAATGGAATGGAGCGTAAATATCAGCTGTACGGTAGATAATAAAAGTCGTCCCCGACGTTTTTGCACCGTACGGCCCATCGTGAAGATTTTGTGCCAATTTCCCGCTTAAAACGTACGACCGGGTTTTAAACGTGCGTAAACTACATTCTAGGGAGTTCATTCAACCCAACTCTTAATTACAAATCGGTTGACAATATCTAAAAGAATACGAAAACCGCCCGGTAATTCGACACAAATTTCGGGGCCCTTCGTATACTTCCAAGTTATGAGACAACATTCTAATAATTTCTATGTAGTTGGTAGCAGTTTTGTGTGGAGCTGTAGTAGTTCTAATTGGGCCCATATATATATGATTGGGCCTAGTTTTTATAACCTCGCTTTCTTGTAACGTTTACATTAACTGGAAAGTGTTTAATCTTATTGTAAACCTTTTTGTGGTGTACGACACGTTAAATAGAGTTTTTTTTGTATTTTGAAAAATTCACGATAATGTTATAGAAAATAAAATAATCACAATGCTTTGGAGCATCGAATGAGCTATAGGTAAATAATGGAATAATAGAAACAAAAAGCTATGATAGTTCAAAGTGTGCACTCGCCTTGTTTATTTGTGCCTCGCTCGCAAGCTCGCTCGGCTAAATAAACGGCTCGTCCATAAAGACCCAGTTTATGTATTTGATATATAAATAGCTATTTATTTACAAAAAGAATTATTGATGTATATTAGTTGCTGAGAAAATAAATATTTTATTTTTATTTATTTACCTCATTCCGAATATGGGTACGTACCTAAAGCGGTATTTATTATTTTATTCTATTTTAATAGCAATTGTTACTTTATAATTCTAATTCTCTTTTATCTATCTTCCTTGTAATGCAAAATCCCATATACGTTCGTACTAAACATTCATACAATCGTATCTAAATTTAGATCAACAACCACACTCAATTTTATGGCAACGAAAATATCTTGACGCGCTTAATTAGTTCATCCTTGATCACTTCTACGATTCTGCCTTATGCGACAGAAGAGCGATAACATCACGTTAACTGATGAATCTGACACTTGAGAATTAATTCAAGGTTTTTTCTCTTTCAATTGTAACTAACGGAACTCGCGTTGTTAAATTTTACGTTCCAATAAAAACCAAAATACCCGTCATTACCACTGGGTTCTTCTTTATGTCCCAACCTCTCTGAACTTTACATTTTTCCTTATCACGTACAGGTTGCTCTGATAACCCAGAACCCGGACTAATCTCGCGTTGAGTGCTCGAAGTAGGTAAATCTAATAACTTGGACCACGTATTAGCATAGCGTTGCCCAAGACTGAATGACTCCCAAAAATCTTCCAGTAACAATCCCATTAACCACTAATAATATAATATTTAATTTATACTAAACTCATTAACTAATTATGCGAATTTCCATGAGTACAGATTTAGACTATGATATTGATCTATAGCAATCGAGTCTGAACGTGCTGGGTCGATTTATTTTATGAAAATAATCGCAATTACCATACTTTTGAATAGAGGTACTACATCTTGACAGAAAGTTGACATATATGACAAAAAATCTATCTGTTCAAAGTTACCAAAAATGGAGTCCAAAACGGAAATGACACGATTTAAAAACGCGAAAGTTTATTACAGAATTTTCCCGATGCTAAATATGCGATGGGATCACGTGAAAATACTGGAAGATGTGAAAACGTTATACGTACGTTACATCCAGGACTTTGGAACTGGACGAGACGGAGTGGTTCCTAGTTACTGGAGGTTCACTACCGATGGTGTATTTTATAATGAAAGTCAATTAGCTGTTTACAATGGAGTAACACGTGATATTTTAGATAAGTATGTCTTCATGTACCCACCACTGTATAATATCTATTTATTAGAGTCATCGACGGCTGCAGTGCGATAATTCTGAGTTTCGGCCAAAGTGGAAGTGGGAAATCTCTAACGGCGAGTGGATTGCGGAATTGCTACAAGGTAAATGAAAGCGATACGAGGATGTCAATCAAGAGGTAGTCCTTTTAGGATAGAGGCATTGCTCCGCGTGTGATTTCCGACTTATTTCTAAAGAAAGAGGTGCTCAAAAACCAAATCAGACTCTGCGTTCAGCTCTCCTATGTTGAAACGAAACACACTTATCTCAAAGACTTACTTAGTGAAGATAGTGATACATTCACACGGAGCTTTAGGGAAATTACACTACAGAAGGTGAAATCTGCAGACGAGGCACTGACGCTGCTATTTAGAGCCGAAAGCAAGAGAGAGTTTGCAGCAAACTCTACAACTAGTCATGGCGCTAACGGTATATTTACCATCACTGTTACCGCAAAACCGGCTAATACAACTGATCCGATGAAGAAGACATCAAAAGTAACCATATATGTTCTCACCACCTCAAATTAACTGCCATTTAGCTGCACGTTGTAGACCTTGGAGGCGTTGATAGTTATGGCAATGCTACATCGATTAACAAAAATATTTCGCAAGTCGGTAACGCTAACGTGGCGAAGACGCAATTGGAGCAGTTCATATTGACACTAATTCAAAATCGTCCCGATTGTATTCTGGTGAAGCAAAGATTGAACCCCTTGATACAGTACTTGGGCGATTCGTTAAGCGCGCATAGCATTCTTCGGTAATACGATAATTTATCGTCCCGGCAATACCCTTACGGTTTCAGCTGCGTTGGACATATACGCGTTGATCTACCTAACCTTTACATCACATTATCCTTGCTCGCTTTTGGTCAATGCATACGCGGCTTGAAGCCCAAAAGGCTGCAACCCAACATCTCAAAGAATGAAGAGATTGAAATCAAACTGCTTAAGGTTGTACAAGTTTGTAGCTTCTTTCAAACTGACTTGGTACCTTTAGAACCAAATTGTTGGCATGCGAAAGGAAAACGACTTGAATGCGATGCTGAACTGTGGTGATTTAGCGTCGAATATCACTCAGGACCGTGTCCTTCAAATGCAGAATATCGCCAAGGAGTATTTAACCGATATCACTAACGAGCTCGTGGTGCTCAATGTATCTGATGCACGCACCGTTCTCAAAGTGTTTAAGGATCTTTATAATAAACTGGAGATGGATAAAGAGGAGTGCGTAAAGATTGCCCACGATGATGGTTATCAGGAGGGCTTTACGACAGCTATTAATACAGAGGTTTGCTATTTGATTTCCAATGCGACGCTTTTTTGTGCTGAATATTTTGTAGAGTTCTGGGTTGTAGCAAAGATCCTCTTTCGTTGTAGTGATCGAGGGAGGTTCCTATAGTTGCTTTTGTTGCTCTTTCATCAAATAATACAATCAATTAGCACTTAAAATGGTTCCCAGTAGGAGTTGTGAGGTAGTTTTGAGTTTGATTGTTAAAGAATTCCATTAGCGTAAATCAGTGTATAGTATATTGATTTTTTGACGATTACCTATGCTTAATCATCTTTATTCAGAGACAATTTTTATTCTGCATTTTTCTTCTTTTATCTTTACGTTTATTGCAACCATCTAGTAATTACATGATCGTGGTAAATTAACGACATTCTAGTACAACATGGGCATTGTCATTTATAGCGCATTACAAATACAAATTGCTCATTTATTCATAAGGGTTCAACTATAAAATTACACGGGACATATGCACTAAAGTATGTTGTAGATTACACGCTCAACGACAAAGTCTAAAGAAAGCATTGGAGTTGGAAAATTAAAATCAAGCCATGGCAATGTTTCACTAAAGGGATCGCCAAAGAAAGCACCCAGTAACAGTAAATCTAATCAATACCTTAACTGAACCAATAATACCCGTTCATATTATAGTTTCGAAAAATGCGCTAGGTGAAAAACGTAACACGCTCACTAAACGTAGCAAGACCAGTAGCCTTTCATTAAAAAAATCAAGCACGGGCAAAAAGAAATCAAACGCCGGTTCCCTACACGACCTCCCCTTGCACTTGGCCGAACTAGGCGAAGTGAAAGATTTGCCGAAGAACGTGCCGAACTATGCGAAAGCCTGGGCACTGTTTATAAACGATAACTCGTATAATTACGCAAAGCTCGAGGAAGAACGGATTGCAAGTGAAACCGAAGCCAAAGAGCTACAGTTGGAGTACTATCACGCCATTAGACAGTTGCACAAGTGCCACGAAACCGTAGACCTTAGAAAGAACGAGTTGCGTAAGGTAAGCGCCATTTAAGGTCGGCAGATTCTAAATGCGGATCTGTTTTGAAAGGCCGAGATGCGGAGACTGTTTGATCCACAAACCTGTGATGAAGATGGTAAAGCTTTTCTAAGTGCAGCAGAAACGGAATGCCTGGACAACTGTAATCATGCTCAACAAGAGCTGATTGCTGAACAGGAACATGTCCTGAAGAAGCAAACGGAATTTATACTTGCACTAGAACAAACCCAGTCGATTAAGAAGGATATTATAGACAAATTTGACGACTTTTGCAAAAAACATTATCATATCTCAGTACCAGATTTACATGCCACATCGCAGTTACACGTAAATGCATCGAATTAAATAACATCAGTATAGGTAGGGTAGGTACATCAATCAGCTGTTTCAGGTTGTATACGAATCGGGAGCGATATCAGCTTTATTGGACGAGGAAGTTGGAGAGACATTACCTGATGATGAAGTACACAATATAAAACTATACAGGCAGTTACAGCGGTTAATGAAGGAACAAATATTGAAAGAAATAAAATTAACAAAAAGGAGAAAGCGGTGGACTTAAATGCACTTTGTTTGATCCTACCCTTGTATACATTTGGCTTTCACCTTTATATATGCGATATTTTAAAGAAACTTTTGTAATTGCGATGAGGTTTCCATGTGTACTGTCAGTACTGTGTAGGTGTAGCCCTTATCAAATTATACAAATATATATACAATGGTGTAGCGTTTGGTCTAAATGTGACGCCATATGCTCGACTCGGCGTATGACGGCCCCAAGTGAGAATCCAAACTAAAAACAACACCCTCATGTTTGTGCCGTGCGAGGCGACCCGTAATAGGGGATGTACGGATCCTGGTAGGTGAGTTACCTGAAGTGGCGACAACAGAGTACTTTGGCCGGACTTTCGCTTAAGACGGGAGGTCGTGGCTAATCCACCATGACCAATCGGCTGTCATCGGAAACGTCTCAGAATACCTCCCAAGCTCTGTTGCAGGTTACCGAGTCTCAATAGATCAAACCACCCAAGCACATCTACGGTTCTGAATAGAAGAGGGGGAAAAAGGCCAGGCTGGCCTAAATGAGTCAACTACTTCAACGTGAGATACCCTCCTAGAGCTAACCCCGGCCAGGCGGCCAAACGGATAGATGAAGAGAAATAGAGGCAAAGATCGGATAACTCAACGCCGACCTAACCGCCGACAAAGAAGGGCAGACCGCAGACTCAACCAACCATCAGTAAAGCTGAAGCACCCCGCAATCGGAATAAATTGTTGTGTGGTGGTCCAACCCTTGAACGTGGGTGTTAGTGTAACGCTCTTTAGGGCGAACAGATGCGGGTCAAGAACCTCTGCTTAAGTGTTTTTGTACCATATCTGCCTGGTTAGCAGTTAGCGTACCCAGAGGATTATTGGTATCTACGATCGCTACTTTCAGTTAACTCTCGGCAGCTTACTTATAAATTCTCTTGAGTAGTTGAAGGAGGTGATTGGCAACATCCTAAGCTCCGCAAGGCTGCCGTCTGGGCCCCGTGGAACTTGACGACCTGGCGGGGGTCTGGTGGCGCCTGGAAGCGAAGAATTCCTGGGGAATGATAGGCAGCTAGTGTCTCTTCCACACAGCCGTGAAAGGGCTCCCTCAAGGAAAGATGATAGTTTTCGGGATTGGGTAAGGGGAGCAGACTGCAGTGACATAGTAACATAGTGGCGACAATTGAGCCCGTCTTTCTCGTGTCGTCAATAGAACCTCGAGCTATAAGAAGTGTTGCAATAATTGATTACTATTTTGTGGAAGGTTTTCAGCATTTATATGAAACTGGGGGCGTCAGAAGTGGGTACAGACAAAGGGAATGGGTAACCCCGGACAAGATCGGACTGATGGTAGTCAAAACTTCAAACGCGATTTACGAGCGAACGGGGCGTCGGAGGTAGGAGCCGACTAAGGGAATTGGTAGCCTTCGACAATTGATGGTGGAGTCAAAACGGACTAGCAGAATACTGATATGACACAGAAAAATGCGCTGAAGTCCCTTTGGTCTCTCCCAAGGACTTTGATAATTCTTATTGTCCATAGCACAGCACTCAACACAATTTGTGCACATCCCAGGAACCAGTACCACAGAACTTAAATAGTGACAGAATGCCGCCTGTTCATCTGTTGAGGTTTGTGCTTGTTCCGTTAGTGTGCAGACAAATTCGCCCCTATATGTAACTCATGTACATGTTGTCATGTGAATAAGATATTTTAGATGGTCATTTTAAAGTCTGTTATCAAAACGTTATCTCACGGAACTGGTTGGTCGCACGGTATCTTACAATACCGTCGAAAAATAAGACGCGCCGCGTTTGCAGTCAACTCTTGCCATTTTGATGAGGCTTTAACTGCGCAAGCTCGAAATGTTCACTTCTCCAACGCTCCGTTATAAATAAACCACGTATAGGTCTTCGCAAACCGGTTACTTCCTTTTTCAGTACTTCGCAACGTGCTGCAAGCCCTACGTCAAATCTTCCTGTTTCGTTCGCGGGGCCTTCTTCGGGAAGTAGGCATTGCAGGTTCCCTCATCCATGCATAAATAGCTTGAATTGGCTAAATGGCTACTCCACATGGACCATGGATACTGTTCGGAGTCTCTATGCTGAAACAATTCTGTTACCGTCAAAGATTATGTGCAAGTACGAGTAGTCCCTTTTGTACACGAACCACCTCCTTTGTATTCTTTCTTGTCATTTTGAGATGTTTATTAAAATTATACCGGGTGGTGCATGGTAAGTAGGAACATAGGGATTTAACATGGGAAATTATTTTATGTAATATTCTGCACTCCTGTACATTTTACAGAAAAAACTGTAGAGTTTAAAGTTGTTCAGAATTAATTTCCCATGTTAAATCCTTATGTTCCTACTTATACCGTCCACCATCCGGTATAGTTATCTACAGCGCTTTGTCCAAATCATAATCAGCCTACTTATGCAGTTACAAGGTTTTTATTAAAAAATTAATGTTACGCCACTGAGCATTAATTTAAATTTTTTAACTGCCTCGTTTTATAGAAATTAATTGATAATTGCAGGATTAGAGCGTAGATTATATTACATAAGATTAATAGTGCAATTACGTACGCTGAATTTGCACAAATTGGGGTAGATATTTGTGAACGTGGTCGTGAAATTTAAATTTGGCGCGCCGTACGGATCAGGCGCGGTTAGCTCAATAGCGGAAATCAACCATCTTCCCTTTGTATGTACCGGTTGTGAGCACATGTGCTTGCTGTAATTACAAAGTTTTAACCAACTCATGTGAGTGTAACGACGTTTTAAGGTAACTTAATAAGTACATCTTAAATACTTAGTGTTTATCGACGTGTCATAATAGTTTAAGTATGAATACCGAAAAGTTAAAGAAATTACAAGCACAAGTCAGAATTGGTGGTAAAGGCACACCGAGGCGCAAAAAGAAGGTGGTGCATTCGACACAAGCGACAGATGACAAAAAACTGCAATCCTCCCTTAAGAAGTTAGCTGTAAATACGATACCAGGAATCGAGGAAGTGAATATGATTAAGGACGACGGCACCGTCATACATTTTAATAACCCCAAAGCTCAAGCGTCATTAGCAGCGAACACATTTGCAATTACGGGACACGGCGAAACCAAACAAATCACAGAGATGCTGCCCGGCATTCTCAGTCAGCTCGGCCCCGAAGGTTTGAATCAGTTGAAGCGTTTAGCTAATACCGTTGCCAATGCGGGTGTTGGTAAAATCTTGCCGGAGGACGAGGAGGACGTACCAGATCTAGTCGAGAATTTCGACGAGGCTTCCAAGGCGGAGGTGGGCAAAAAGAAAGAAGACGGCAAACCGAAGGATAAGAAGCAAGATTAACTTTTTCCGCCTGTATTTAGTGTGTGGTAAATTTAAATTCCGAGATTCGGCGTCATTATTTATAATATTAATTGGCTATAGCAATCTCTATCCACCACCAAATGTTAAAGAACTTTTTTCATTACTTATTGTTAAAATCTGTATTACGATTTTGGTTCCGATAGAGTGTTTGATAGGAAATATAATATTCTAATAGTGTTGTTCCTTTACTTGTTTGTTTAACTACCAGATAATGTGCTCTTTATCTTGTGGTTAATTTTGTAAATTGAATGCTGATAATGTTTGCTGAAATGTGTGCTACGAACCGATCCTTCCTGTTTTGATTTCATGTTATGCTTTATGATTTTGCCCCTGATATCTGGGTCACGAATTAAGTGGATTTAAATTGCAAAATTAATTTCGAAACATTTTGTTAATAGAATGCGTCCTTTTACATTATATCTGCTTCCTCAAAGGACTTTTTATTTTGCAGTGGGAACTTTTTTTCTGCATGTTACACCATCCAAAAACTATTTTTGATATTCATGTTAATAGTCACCGTTCTGTCTGTGATTACAATCCATTTAAAAAATGTAGAGATCTCATTTCTTCAATTTACAAGAATTGCAGATTTGTATTATTTATAGATACCTGTAAATTCATATAAACTGGTAGAGCATGAAGTGCCATCTTTACGACAAGAGTGTAAGTTAATTAAAAAAATTAAAAACAGAAATTTTCCTTGTTAATTTTCGACAACTGATAATAAGATGGCAACAGTAAGATTGATTGCTTACAATTAGCACCGAAATTACCTAAATCACAGATAAGCATTGAATTGTACAAGCACAGAAGAAATTGCTAATGCAGCAGTTATGCAAATTACTACTATAAAGGGTGGTATATAAACATGAGAAATTTGAGCAAATCCTTCATATAAATCTTGGAAAATAAGAGGCAAAAATGAAAGGAATTCGTATTAAGGCTGGACAGTACATACAGAACGGAGTATGTAAAGTTGCCTATTGTCAATCCCCAAATTTGGTTATTCGATGGTAAAAACATAAACTTAGTCCAATTATAATGCACATTTTCTATCTGTATAAAACCAGCCACGCGGCGGAAGCTATCTTTTCGCGCTTTTGAGGAAAACTTAAGTTGTTTTTCCAAGATAACTTATATATAAATGAAGTTGGAACAATTTCCAAAATTAAGATACGTTCGTAAACTTAATATCTAGGCAATAACGCCAGGAAAATTTATTTCCTTTTTTCTTTTCCAAAATATGACACCCTAACAGCCCTCGACGTTGCCCTTAAAAAAAAGATTATTTTAAAACATTTTAGTAAACCCCGGCGTTATTGTCTAGCTAAAGCATTCACCTTTCACAGGATTATTCGACCCCTTCTTCAACTTCACTCAGAATTAAGATATCGTGGAACGAAATCACGCGTTTTCGGGCAACGGAACGGGTGTACTGTCCAGCCTTAAGAAACAGAAACAAATTTCAATAATTAATTCATTAAAAATTCAAGATAATAAATGGGTCTGAAGCTGCTGAATTTTAATTTTCAAATAGTGTTGGTCCTCGGAAATCAGAGGGAGCTACTTTCGAACGGTTGATTTGTACCAAAGAGTATCCACTCTTTGGTACAAACTATAACTTTTCAGTGCGACTCTTTTTCGAGATCAGTGAGCGACGGCGCTTGAGGGGAGGTTAAAATTTAATTTTATCTCTCATTGTATTCTAATTAAAGGTCTCAACGAAAGGGACCGTTTTCTACCAACCACTGCCCTTCTTTCTGTCCTCTTATCAAAGTACAGAGTGGAGGGGGAGGTGGAACTAATTTTATCCTTCATGGTACCACAGACAACATATACTATGTTGTCTGTGATGGTACTCTAATGAAAGGTCTCAACGAGAAAGGAATTAATTTCTACCAACCATAGCCCTCCTCCTCAACCTCTTATCGTGATCGGGTATATTCCCTTATACCTCAAGAACTGATTGTCGGAAGAGGGTATACTCACAAAGGGCGATTGACACGTCTGCAAGAAGTATATCCATTGGTGATGTCAAAGCAAAAGCTATTTCGGTTTAAAAAAACGCGGTTTATCTGCACAAGAGACTTGTTTTGATTTTGTTGGGTATACCTACCTGCGGATACATTTCGTGCTGATACGGTGGTGAAGTTGAGTACGTGCAAAACAAACGCGTAAGGTTTAAACGTAGTTCAAGTTTTTCGTAACCATCAGTTACACGGCATAATTTACGACTATTACGGTAAATCCGCACAATAGCGGAAGTTTTACACGCATAAAATTAAAATTGCGTGACCTTAAAATAAAGGTGAATTGCGAAATAGAGGATATTGTTGGGAATATGGAAAACAGTTTAAAATTAGAAGCGCGAAATTAAATTTGATTCAAGGCGAAAGGATAAAGTTTCATGTAGGTAATTATTTTCGTGTCTGAAGCGACCGATTGTGCGCAAATATTTTTATATACATTGACATATACCGTCGGATCATGTAATTCTGAGTGAGCGACTTTGTCTTTGAAGAGTTGGATGAATCAGTACTTGAATGAGCAAGGTATCCCCATCAGTATTGCATTCAAAACAGTAATAAATCGATTCCTTTAATCAAATTTAGATTTTCATTAGTTTCCCTAGTTAAAACATCCAAAATTCCGTCAAAATCAGAATATTTGGGAATTTGAGGGAGCTGTTTGGAAAATAATTAGTCCGCCTTTGATAACATTAGCCATTAATTAAAGCGATTCGTTGGTTTTACTCAATATCCCTTCGAGAAAATCACGGGAATAGAACGTTTCACTCAACTTTTTCCTTGTGTCTATTCTGTTGCGTGTGAGCTAGGATTATTATAGCGATGAAACCTAAAGTTTGCTCGTTTAATCGTGTGCCTTTTAGTTAAAACGTTTAACAGGATGAAATAAATGATTCAGATATGCAATATTTAACACTGCATGTTGTTAGTTTTACTTTGATTTTTTTGTAGATAAATTTATCTCCCTTAAGCGAGGAATTAATTAATCATGGGATATAGTAGTTTCAATGGAAGAGGGAAAATTGTTCGTTAAATAAATTAATCTTTTCCAACTATCTGTGAGAACTGAGAAGCTGCAGTAGACTCGCGTCCTGAGGGAAATTAGATAAATGTGAAAACATAATTTGAAAATCAATGTAGAATGAAAAAGATACGGGACACGTACTTAAAACGCAAAGGCTGTATCCAAAGCTTTATTGCGATAAATTACAGTGTGACCCTTTCATATGACTTCCCTACAATCTAATAGCTTCACATTTAAAACGTTCACAGGTTGCTCTCTCAGCAGGAATTTCTAAATTATTTTCGAAACCCACATACAACATAATCAGCAAAATTGAGAGCGTAGAAGCTTTCCGTTAGTTTAAGATGATTCGGTCGCAGGTTCTTACGTTGCGAGTTGTTTTCGAGTGCGCCCTTATTTTGTTCGCCAAACTAACAGGATTATAATTTAATTTTGCACAAAATCGAAGTTTCAGATCGTGTAGAGGTTTCTAAAAGCATTACTTATGCATTCGGCGGAAATTGGCTGCGGTTTTCATTGAAAACTGCTACTTAAACATTCACAACCTTTCCTTAAAATGTGCTAATTGCGTGTTTGAAAATTCTACACATTTTTGGAATATTTTCTTCCAATTTACATCTTTTTACCTTTCCACGCCACTTCCGAAGATGTGTCTCCGAAATGAAAGGCCAAATTTGGGTGAAGCATCATCAAGAATACCACTTAGGAAAATGCGATCTCTGTGTCTGTACTATCCACAATACGAGTATATTTATTGACACGATAAGCTACGCACATAAAAAAGCTCCCTAAGTTTGAATTTTTCCTTCCCACATACGAATTCTGTTTACATTCTTCGCCACTATCTAAAGTCCTTGATGCTATTTTGGTTGTTAGTGGAATTTATTGAAGGCTTCAAATTAATCTCGATGGTTTCGCAGTGTTATCTAGGAAGGGGGAAACCGCGATCAATAACGCAATCTTAAAATACAGTTTCGAATTTAAATAACTACCCACACCGTCGCCATTATGTGTTAGAAGAAAACATGCCCACGGAGAGCCATAAATTCGCAACTTTACTTGTTGCTTTGAGTACTTTTCGCACAAATTGGACTATTATTTAAAGTGACAGTGAAAATTGGCGCAACGAAGGTGCTCGGTTGCCCAAAAAGTAAAATTATTATAAAACCGCAGAACACCACACTACCTATAGCATTAAATTTGCCCTTTTGCCACAGACGACGACACTAGTATACTCGGCATGCGGGTTTAACAACGTAAATACAAACAGAAATCTAGTCAAGGGAATGTAAATCCTTTTATCCTCTTACATAATGTGCATAATCTCGGGGAATTCATATCTTAACCTTTAGCTCCTTTGATGTGAATTTAAGCTCAGGATTTCGTTGTGCTGTTTGCAAAATTATAAAAAAAAAGTTATATCTCGCTCCATCTGAAAAAGCAATTTGAGAATGTAATTGCGTAGTTATTCAGTTAAAGAACGGCAAGGGGAAAACGTTTGTTTAGGCTAATTAAATAAGCCAAAGGTGGAGCGCGTTAATTATTTGTAACCGCGATGTGTTAAGTTAATGGATTAACGCATCTCTATTCAATAATTTAGTCGCAATTCTATTTCTCGTATTTAGACAAACATCTAGGTATACACTCTTGCGGTCTCTACGAAAGCGTAGAGTTTAATGTTTATTTGCGGTATTGCTCTTTTCAGTTAGATACAGCCGATACAGGGTCGCTGATATGTCTGGAAACGGTCGATTATGGGCGAAAATGTACAAGATAGCGCAATATGTTTTATGCAAAAGTTCTTCAATGTCTATACTAGGTAGTGATAATTTTATAATTATACAGGGTAGCTCATAAAGGTGCGAAACACCCTGTATATTAATCAATATTTCAATTCTTCTCTCAGTTTTAGCAAATTTTGTAATACGCAGAAAGCACCTAAATTCAATCGTTTCCGAGTTATCGAGTTTTCAAAATAAACGCTATTATTTTAAAATTCATTAATAATCAGGGACGAATATTTATGCCCAACCCAATCAAGCATTGTGGAGAATCTCAAGCCCATTCTCTTTTACAACCCGGAGCTAGCTCGCCGTTTACGCGGCGGGTCTGAGCCAGCTTAACTGAA